ACTTCAATAAGCAAGAAATGGATAATTGCCAGGATTTTCAACCACTTTTAGAGATGATCTTGATGGTATATTTATATTTGGCTTACTTACAATAATAATTTAGGTTTATTCACTATTAAGAATTTATCATTATCAAAATTACTGACTCAGCAATTGGAACAATTTGAATTATTTGCCTGATTGGCAGTGATAGTGACATCACTTTGATAGCGGTTGACATTATATATTCTGCTAAATTTATCAATATTCGATCCAGTTATTAATGAATTGGACTTGCCTTTTTTATCCGATCAAAACTCTTATCTGCTTTAAATTGAATGGAATTTTTAGCATTTCGTACCGTCAGGTCTATATACCGTTATCGTATCACGGATAGGATCTCATGCTTTTGCACGAGGAGGAATAATAATATTTATGAATTTGCAAAAAAAGAGCTCACCTGAAGAGAAAAAGAATCTCGGGAAAATCATCTAAGTTAAAAAAAGAAAAAGATTAAATATATATTATATCTTTCAGTTTTTTCAAATAATTCAACATTATTAGCCAACTCCACAACAAGTAGCATTATCCACGAGAAAGAAGCATGGCATGCTCTGAGAAATGCCAAACAATTATTGGATGTTTTGGCACATACCGATGGAGGACTTTCATTACGATTGAATCGTATTATTAGCGAAATTTATGCATTGGCTAAACAATTTAAAGAAATTCCCAAAAAAGAAAGTGGGTTAATAATTTTTTGTTTTTCCTTCCTTAAATTAGGTTAATTTATAGAATAAAAATTATCTTACTATTTAATTGGTTCATTATTATCAAATAAATGTTTAAAAAACGACATTTTATTTTATTTAATAAATCTCAACTTTTTTAATGAATTAAATTACTTCTTTAAAAAAATTAAAATTGAAATTAAATTGGAATATTTTTCAACGATAACTATTTGTTTTAATTTCAAAATTGTAATATTTTACATAAAATTTATCAATATAGCAATAGAATGCAGTAATGGAACAAATGGAACAGATGGAATACATGAGATGGATGATGAAGGTTATGATTCGATGAGACGATCAACAGCAGCTACCGATCTGTTATCATTAACACTCGGTGGTGATTCACGGTCATCATTTGATACTGAATTAAAATCTGAAACAAGCAGTGTTGATTCATGTATTCTGATGAAGTAGGTTATCATTTGTTTTTTAAAAAGAAATTAGCATTTAGTAATTAATTCTCAGAATCGGACATTTTTCTTGATCATTTCAATAAGCAGCTAACACTCTAAACGACAAGTCCTTGTACTGATATTAGTCATAAAATATGTTTACAAAAAAAAAAAGTCTCTCTCAGTCTCTCTTTAAGTGGAAAAAAAGTTTTTACTTCGAATTATTCAATTAATCGGATTTCATGATCCGGATCTTGTTCTAGCTTTGTGATAAAATCAAGTATTAAAGATCCATTAGCTATCATTTTGTTCCTCCAAAATTTTCTTTTAGGAAATTAGTGTCTCTTTATATTTGCAGAATGCCTTCGTCAACATCAGGATTGTCACCCAACGTAACACCAGTACAACCTTTACGTTGGATTAACATTTCACGTCATTCACCATCATTTAGCGTGAAAATGGTTGACAGTACTGGTAGCCGTAAAAAACATTGTTTTTTTTGTTATGCTAATTTGTCGAATTTTTTATTATTATCAAATGGCTTTTGAAAAATTTTTTCTTGAAAACTTTCATTTTTACTTTGATTTAAAAAAAAAAAATGTTCAAAAATTTTTTTATTTAAGCAACAAGGCAAACAATTGATCAAAGGAAACATACGGTAACTGAGCAGCAAGGGGCGACTGTTTATGAATCGTTTCCGGTATCGTACGACTTTCTTTAATTCCAAAATTTTCAAAGAAAAAATCAATAAGTTTGAATTAAATCATAGCTATCAGCAGAATTTTTAACAATGATGAGAATGATGAAGTAGTTCAATGAGTTAAATATTCATAACAATAGTAACCTGTTTTCTGAATATCAGTTATAGCATTATTCAAATACCAAATTTATGTATGAAAAGTTTTGTTTAACCAAATGATGATAATACTTATACTCAAATAACAATCTATTATCATCATAAACATTAAGCAATCAAATTTATCACTGATAAGCTTTTAAGTAGCAACAAAAAGAGAAAGAAAGAAAATTATTGATTTAGGAAAGTAGTATTTTCATCAAAATGATTTTATATGGTATAAATTAGTGTTAAAAGATTTAATAAATGGATAATTAGAGACATTCAAATGATTTTGATAATGAATAGAGAATACAAGACATCAATGCTTTTTAAAAAATCCATTTAAGATTTAAAAACATTTAATACTCTCTATTATTTGAAAAATTTAATTCTCTATTATTTAAAAATTCAATAATCTTTACTATTTAAAAATAAATAATTTTTTCTGTTTTTTTTAAACTTCATTTAGAACTGTCTCAATGGCAATACAAGTAATTCACATGAACCTACCACAATTCAAAGACTCAGTACAGCAATATCATCATCATCATCATCATCATCATTACCAAATATTATATACGATCAGCCATCAACAAGTTACAATTATGGTACAGCAACGAATATTACTACAAATCTGGTATACTGTAATATTCTCTATTATTTAAAAATAATACAATAACCATTCAAATACAATGCGATAACCTTTTCCCTATCTGGAAATTTTATCCAAATGGATTTAAAAAAAGAAGATATATACGGTATGTATTATTGTTATTAAATTATCACCAATTTATCGCAATATTCTATAATTGAAATATTGAAAAAGAACGATTTTATAGATAATTTATTAATAAATACAATGTTGATCTTTTATCCAACGATCTTTATCATTGTATTGTCATGATAATGGTAACTTTGTGCTTTTATAATTTTTTTCTTTTCCTCCAATAAGTTTGAAGAAATAATCCAAATTATAGGTTACGGAATCAAACCAACAACTAAGTACCAATAATAATAGTGAAAGAATTTCGAAAAATGAACCAATACCAATTTATGTACGACCAAGTGAATTATGTTTTGATGACATAGCTGATAGTGGTGAAATATTGAGTGAATTCTTCATCCCATCATCAACATCCAGTTTTCAACAATCAAAATCCCCAACGACAAATGATACCACTTTGACTACTCCGGTATTGACAACGTTCTTATTTTTTAAGGTTCAATTGATAATAAGGAGATGTTGATTTTATAGGATATTAAGGTGAAAAAAAAGAAAAAATCAGTTTAAAAAAGAATTAAATTCCTAATATAGCTCAACGAGGTTTGTTAAAATTTAATTGTTAAAATTTAACGATAATATTCATCACTATTTTTGATCGATTGTTGCTCAAAATAATTTTGAAAATTTATGCCAGTTGCGCTTATGATAATTGATTTTCCCTTGTTTTACTAAAAGAGTAATGCATAATGGGATCTTTAAATATAATGGCTTAAAAAAGAAATGAATATGTCAGTCAATTATGAATTAAATTGGAAAGAGGAATAAATAAAATGATTATAAATTAGAAATAATAGCGAAACAAAGATAAATGAGAAGGAAATAAAACGAAAATAAAACTAACAAAACTGATTTTAACATATGTTCTTTTATTTTTTTCAGTTTTAAACTAAAAATTCTTTCCTTTATTTCCTTTTTTTTCAGGTAATGTCAACAGGATCAAATACGATACCAGTAGTGACATTTGCACAACTTTGGAATTTTAATGAACAGTATGATCATAAAGAGACAAATACTCTTCCTTCACAAGCAACATCCGCTACAATATGTAAATCATTCCTATGTTAATTTTAAATTTTCAAAAGCTACGACCAAAAAGATTCACAAAATTATTCTACGGTTGCTATGAAAGCGACAAAGACGATCTGAGCAAATGTTATCAAATGAAGAAGGGTGTAGTTTATTTGGTAGCTGAAATAACACATAGAAGCTAATTTCGGAGACTGATATATACGAAGAACAAGGCATTTCTAGTTCCGTTTCCGACTTTTGGACCCACAGATCCGTTGTGTCACTTGATTTACATGGATGATCCACGATTAAAAAGCAATTTGTGACAGAATAAGTTTGCTTTTAAACCTTAATCTATTTCAGGTCCACTCTAATGATGATGTAATTTGCCTAAGCAAATTTGTGAAAAAGCGAATCCTGTTTTTCTGTATTGATATTTGTCGCATATCAGTCCTGTTTGAAAAGTTAATAGGTTTACCGATTAGTTAAAGTTCCAGTGTTTTTTCTTTTTTCTCTTTTTTTTCTTTCCTTTCTCTATCAACCATTTATTGCTTATTTCGATTCATCTTATCAGTTTCATTTAATTTCTGTGATCGTTTGCGAAGAATAATTATTTCATGTAATCTGGTCATATATTTTTGAAATTTGTAAATTTATGGAAACAGGATAATAGTACCTCATTCTTCACACTTTTTCAGTTTCATTTCCGGCTTTCATACAAAAACTACAATCACATTCCGGTTGCTGCACTCATTTTATTCGCTTGCATTTTATTTGTAAAATACGGGTTATAGCGATAAAGTTGTCGCTTTCCTCGATGATCAGTTTGTTTGTTTTTTTTACATTCAGCATTGAAATTTCTCTCTTATTATTTAGTCCTGTCGAACAAATTTCTCGGAATATCAATATTGTTTCAATGATTCTTTGAATCAACGGAATCAATATTACGTATCATATTCCTCATAATAATGTGTTTGGTGTCCGTCTTCAAACAATTTTTCTCCCAATAACGAATAGAACTAGACTGATAAGTTCAATTTCTTAAACTGGTAAAAAAAGGGATTATTTCATGGAAATCAAAATATTTGCCTTATTAGAATTATCCCCTACTATATCTCAACCTTTCCCATTCATTGTATTTGAAATGAAGTTTTATTGATCTCATTTTCTAGTTTATATTTAAAGTTTTCCATCTGTCAAATAAATTAGTTACTTTTCTGCTACTTGTTAACAAAAACTACTACTCTTATCAATGTTATTGTAGGAGAATGTAACAGTTTGTTTGAAAGAAAACCAAAAAAAAAAGATGGCAATAAGGATCAGAAAATGTCCCAACAACAATCATAATGAATGAATAGGACAAACGAATGAATGATGGAAAAAAAAAAAAAAGATGATTAGGTTAGGAAAACAAATATCGTGTACGCATACAACTATTTTACTTTTATTGAATGAATCCCGGAACTATCTCTATCAATAAATTCTTATGACACCCCTGTTAACTTAATCGATAAATTCAATTTTTCTTGTGATATTATATCAGAGCAATAATGGCATCGCACTTGACCAAAATAACATTTAAATCCTCCAATAATTTTATGGTAGAAAAAGTACCTGCACCTTTACTAGGAAGCTACCAAGAAAGACAGAGAAACTTATTGGCAGCTAATTTTGGATTAATTTTCATGATATAAATAATATGTTAATGGAATTGATTTGCTATTAATGAACTAAATTCAAAAGAATTGACATTTCTTACAAGGAAAGAACAACGTCGCCCAATTAGTGGTAGCAGTCAATCAGATGGCGGTTACAGCAGCGAGCGGCATATACCGTAGTGCAGTGGTGACAGTGGTTTTGTTTTCATGAATTTTGAATTACAAAAAAAAAAAAAAAAAAACAGCGGAAAAGAGGAAAATATGATCGACAACTAGTTAAAATGATTCTCGTGAAAAGGAGTAAAGAAGACAAACTCACGAATAAATGACGGATATTTAGTTATCTTGTCAGATTATTGATGGTTAATGATAATGATTGTTCATTTCAAATTTGTGCTAGTGTATCAAATGTGTTCGGGAAGTTCCTAAAGAGTTGAAAATAATGTGTCCACATGTCCAGCAATGATTGAGAATCAGTGCTGTTAGTGATGTGATAAATATTGATATAAATAAAATGAACTGCATATTGACAGAGTTGAAACATTTCACAAAATGTATGTTAAACAAATTTATGCCCATAAAGAATGAATGGACACTGTTTTTAAATGGTACCTATAGCTAATTTCCACGAATATCCTCTTGTTGCAGGGGAAATGTTTGCATGTCCTTATAAGGTTACGAGCTATGCTGGTGGTAGTAAATGTTTCTAGTAGGACCTACCATGCCAGACAGGTCATGATTGAAGGGCTAGACAAAGTGTTTTCACGATCAAGATGGGATCGTCAGCCTTCAGGCAATCTAAGGAAGAACAACTTTGATCCCAAACATGGGCAGATGGAGTTCGTTTAGCCCTGAGTCCCATTTTCGTTTGGCCCTGAGGTCCATTCACCTCAGAGGTACTCTAATTAAATATACGTCCTGAAAACTTTGCTGCCATCGTCAAAACTCCCTAGGCTTGCAGATGAACTTTAGGAGTAAGGGAATTACGATCCTTTACAGGAATTCCAATAAATCGTTCAAAATTAATTTCCCTTTCATTTCGTCTTTCCAGATGAAGTAGTGTAAATCTTTTGTGATTGCATTATTGCTAATGGTAGATATTAAACAATTCTCTTCGAAATTGCTGTTCAATAAAGAGGGAACTTTGCTTTCAGTTTGGTGATGAAAGACCTTTTGGAAGTCGTTTACCTTGGATTTCCTTGGATTCCAGCGTTATCTCACAGTACCTTTTTTCTCGCTGATAAAATTCCGACATTCCAATTCATAAATTCAGAATTTCCCTGCATTTATTGACCACATTTGCAATTATTCCTATAAATCGATTTTACCGCAGCAGATGAAGCGATTAATATCGATCTTCCGTTGTTGGATTTCCTCCATCGAATTTTCGAAAAGCAACGATTGCATATATGGAACCGTCATCCAAATCAAACTCCATTTCAGTTAAGATAGTTTATACTCCAGTCATCGGTAATTCATCAAGTAAACATAATGCACTTGGCGAAATGCCTAGGAATATATTACTGCAGACAAAAATGATATTAACTGCGAATTGTTGAAAATTGGATAAACTTAGACGTAGATTATAATATTTAATGAATAGAAGG